ATTTTACTCATAACAGTTCACAGAGTCTGAAAACTTCTATAACACAGAATAACTGAATAAAGTAACGACTCGCGCATTTTCAAGTGACTGCGACTGGATTAGCTGTTTGAGATCAAAGAAATTTCTAAGGAGTTTTTTATTTACTTAAAACATAAGTATTGGTAGAAAAGAGAATCAAAATGAATATGTGCCACACGAATAAGACTATGAAATTGTGAAGAGATGTACAGAGCAGAAGTATAGTCAGAATAAATCAATGAAAACGAAAATATAAGTATACAAGAACTACTTACGACAATTCTGCTGAGCAAAACACAACCAGATTGAATCCTTTCACTTAAGTATCTCACAATTATGGAAAATATGAAAGAAGACTGATGCAGGATAGCCACTGGTTTCCATTCTTAGCCAATAATAGTCTAATAAAATCTCAAAATAATGAGTTACACTCTCTCTCGGACCCCAGCAAGGGAGTCATGATGGGACATGAATTACGTATGACTATCCACCGACTATCTGGAAGTGCGATGGTAGCTAATGTACGAGCAAGTTGGAAAAAAGCTAGAAGCGGCTATGTCAAGACATTGCATCGGCTAATGGAGACAATAACTGTTGAGATGAGTCATGTGGGTAGGTGCAGACTCTCTGGCAGGGGTTCGCGTGATTATCGTAACCGATAGTTAAAGACTTTGAACAACAACCCAAAATCGTTTGCAATGATATATGTGCATTCACTCTTTGTTTTCCCTTACATTCTGAATTCTTCATGTCATCTATTGCAATGTTTTATTCCCTGAATCATTGAGGTATGTGTCTACATAGTTTTTAAGATCTCCATAAGCATCCCGTAACTCCGCCTGTAGCTCTCATAGGGTTACTGTCGGTCCCAAGCCCGGGTAAAGGAGGAGGGTTGGGCATGGGGTTAGCGTCCCCATCCCGTAGAAAATTAACTCGCTAAAACAACGCTTACCAGAAAAAATAATCCAAACCATTTAAACTCTGCCCTGGGAGTTAGAAGGTCTTCATTTAGAAGAATTATGACGCTTCATGGTGAAAGCCGAGTTCCTTCGGAAGCCACGAGGCCGATGCCCCTTCTAACAACCAGAGCAAAAATTTCTATAGGTACATGGAACGTTCGAACAATGTGGGAAACCGGGAAGACCAGTCATATAGCAATGGAAATGAGGAGATACAACTTAGCAGTACTGGGAATCAGCGAAACCCACTGGACCCAAGCTGGACAGAAAAGGCTAGCTACGGGGGAGATGCTGCTATACTCCGGTCACGAAGAGGACAATGCTCCACACACTCACGGAGTCGCTCTTATGCTGTCCAAAGTAGCACGAAATGCACTTGTAGGATGGGAATCTCACGGATCCAGAATCATCAAAGCATCATTCAAAACAAAGAAGGAGGGGATCTTAATGAATATTATCCAATGTTATGCACCCATAAATGATAGCAACGACGACATTAAAGATCAGTTCTACGAGCGGCTGCAGTCAGTCATTGAGAAATGCCCAAGAAAGGACCTAACTATTCTGATGGGAGATCTAAATGCCAAAGTCGGAATAGACAACACTGGATATGAAGATATTATGGGACGACATGGACTGGGAGAAAGAAACGAAAATGGAGAAAGATTTGCAAATCTATGTGCATTCAACAAATTGGTCATAGGAGGCACAATATTTCCACACAAGCGTATACACAAGGCTACATGGATCTCACCGGACCACACTACAGAGAACCAAATAGATCATATTTGCATCAACAAAAAATTCCGAAGGACAATGGAAGATGTGAGAACCAGGAGAGGCGCTGACGTAGCTTCAGATCACCACCTAGTTGTGGCCAATTTAAAACTGAAGCTAAAAAAGAACTGGACAAGTGGACAAACAGCACTACAAAGGTTCAATACAGCCTTCCTTCGAGATACTGACAAACTCAATGAATTCAATATAGCTCTCAACAACAGGTTCCAAGCCTTACAAGATCTACTGAAAGAAGAAGAAACTGGTATGGAGGACAACTGGAAAGGCATCAAGGAAGCATTAACTTTAACGTGTCAAGAGGTTCTGGGTCTAAAGAAATACCATCATAAGGAGTGGATCTCTACAGAAACACTGAACAAGATCAAAGAGAGGAAGAACAATAAGGCAGCAATAAACAACAGCCGAACACGAGCAGAGAAAGTCCAAGCACAAGCTGAATACATAGAAGCAAACAAACAAGTGAAGAGGAGTATTAGAGCCGACAAGAAGAAATACGTGGAAGAACTAGCAACGACGGCAGAAAAAGCTGCTAGAGAAGGAAATATGAAACAGCTTTACGATACAACGAAGAAACTATCAGGGAAATACAGTAAACCAGAGAGACCGGTCAAAGACAAAGAAGGCAAGCCAATCACCGATATTCAACAACAGAGGAACAGATGGGTAGAATACTTCGAGGAACTCCTGAATAGGCCGGCTCCAATGAATCCACCGGACATCGAAGCGGCACACACAGATCTTCCCACAGACGTCAACCCACCAACGAAGGAAGAAATCAGAATGGCCGTCAGACAAATCAAGAACGGGAAAGCAGCGGGTCCGGACAACATACCAGTTGAAGCACTGAAGTCAGACATCGAAGCAACTACAAACATGCTTCACCTTCTATTCAAAAAGATTTGGGAAGAGGAACAAGTGCCGATTGACTGGAAAGAAGGGCACCTCGTCAAGATTCCAAAGAAAGGAGATCTGAGCAAATGTGAAAACTATAGAGGCATTACACTGCTGTCAATACCAGGGAAGGTCTTCAACAGAGTGTTGCTGAACCGGATGAAAGATGAAGTAGACGCCCAACTTCGAGATCAACAAGCTGGATTCCGTAAGGATCGATCATGCACAGACCAAATTGCAACACTACGGATCATCGTCGAACAATCAGTTGAGTGGAACTCATCACTGTACATCAACTTCATTGATTATGAAAAAGCATTCGACAGTGTAGATAGGAGGACATTATGGAAACTTCTTCGACACTACGGAGTTCCTGAGAAGATTGTCAACATTATCCGGAACTCATACGACGGACTACAATGCAAAGTCGTGCATGGAGGACAGCTGACAGATGCATTCCAAGTAAGGATCGGAGTCAGACAAGGCTGTTTACTCTCTCCCTTCCTATTTCTTCTGGTGGTCGACTGGATTATGAAGACCTCGACATCTGAAGGAAAACACGGAATACAATGGACAGCTCGAAATCAATTAGACGATTTGGACTTCGCAGATGACCTAGCCCTCCTATCGCATACACACGAACAGATGCAGATGAAGACAGCCAGTGTAGCAGCAGTCTCTGCATCAGTAGGCCTCAGCATACACAAAGGGAAAACCAAAGTCCTCAAATTCAAAGCGGAAAACAACAACCCAATCACTCTTGATGGCGAAACTCTGGAAGATGTAGAATCCTTCACATACCTGGGAAGCATCATCGATGAACAAGGAGGTTCAGATGCAGACGTAAAGGCAAGGATTGGCAAAGCAAGGACAGCATTCCTACAGTTGAAGAACATATGGAACTCAAAACAACTTTCAACCAATATCAAAGTGAGAATCTTCAATACCAACGTCAAGGCAGTTCTACTGTATGGAGCTGAAACTTGGAGAACTACAACAACCGCCATCAAGAAGGTACAAGTATTTATAAATAGCTGTCTACTCAACATCCATTGGCCGGATACCATCAGCAATAGCCTTCTGTGGGAGAGAACAAACCAACTTCCAGCTGAAGAAGAAATTAGGAAAAGACGATGGAAATGGATAGGACATACATTACGCAAATCGTCAAACTGCATCACGAGGCAAGCCCTAACTTGGAATCCTGAAGGGAAGCGAAAAAGAGGAAGGCCAAAGAACACATTGCGTCGGATAATAGAAGCAGATATGAAAACGATGAATTACAACTGGACGGAGCTAGAAAGGATTGCCCAGGACAGGGTTGGATGGAGAATGCTGGTGAGGGGCCTATGCTCCTTCACGAGGAGTAACAGGCGTAAGTAAGTAAGTAAGTAATAAGCATCCCGTGCACACCCTTCTTCAGTAGACATTCACAGAGCACAACAATGCCCAACAAAACGTACACAATGATTGTAAACATGTAAGAGATATAGCGGCACTTCGAAATTTTGCGAAGTGTGAAATTATAACCTGACAGAATGGAAAACAGAATGCTCCTTGCGAGTCGATTCTCAGAAGTTTTGTACAGTCTGAAAAGTATTACAGAAGCTAATAGTTTGGACGCAGCCAGAAGTAGATTCGCTGCCCTATAGTTGTTGTACACATTACACAGGGTGTAACGCTGTAAATTTTTTTCCATTATAAAAGTGAAAAATATTCGTTTAGCTGGAAGAATTTTTCCTGGTGGTATTATTATTGTCCTAATAGTATGTCTCTAGTCATGTGGAAGATAACAATGAGCCCTATGGTGACAGACAATCAAGAAACTATTGTAGAATTTATTTGAGGAGTTATTTGGTTGACAAACTAAGACAATATAAGGAAATATAAGTTTTGCAATCAATTATAGACTATAATGGTGAGTTTTCAAATAACTCCTATATTAGGGCTAACCACATGCCATTAACATATAAAATAAGCTCAGTTAACTTCCTTTTAGGGATAGTTGCCGAAGAAATAATTAAGTAAACGACCATTGAGATGACCTTAGCTTGGAGATATCTTGTGTCTACCTCATTGAGAAAATGGGTTTTAAATAGTTGCACGTGGGATAAGATTAGCCGTTAAAACTTTTAGTTTGTATATTTGTATTTTTTGGGTCAGTAGACATACAAAATTAATTAACAAACCAACCAATGGTCCTTAGCATTGACCACCAGAGGCACGAAGAAAAAATGCAAAGATAATTTTGTTTTCGCAAGCTAACAGTAATATACTATCGATATTGACATTAAATTCAAGCCAAACAGTATGAACACATCATCCGAGACTCACCTGTTTTTCACACAATGTGTATTTACTAACAACTAAATACAAGTTAACACAATGCAGCACTGACGATACAATGGAAAATATGCAAACTGCCCCGAGGTAAAAAGGGACAGGTGAACGCAAACTGGTTTCCATCACTCCACCCTTGCTGCTTGAAAATGATAGTGCTGCGTCAAAAATCAGTAAAGCTCCCATTATAAGAAACAGAAGCACACAGAAAATCTGCACAGAAAATTAATATAGATCAATATATATACCTTGTCTATTACATTTGGAAGACAAACAGTTGGATCGTTGGCTACCGTGAGTGGCATAACCATGATGAAAACGCTATGTGAATCAACTATCAGACAGAACACTTACCACAAGATCCTCAATAAAAAGTTAACAATACCAGTACAAACAAAGTCGTCGGACGCGAAAGACCACGTCCTACCTAAGAAAGTCAATGCAGGCATGTCGACAAAAATACGCAAGATTTTCTAGATCACTTGTAAAGAAATGAAGTGGTTAATGTGATATGGTGACTAGTAACAACGGAAATAACAGTCCTAAGACAGGTGACCTAGACGAACCAAAGATCCCGCCCATTTGCAAATAGTTTAAATGGTTGTGGAGGGAATGGAAGGACCTTTCGTTTAACATGCTCTAACATCTAGTGACACTGGATCGCTGATTTCTTCGGGTACTGGCCTAAGTGTATTTAACAGGTAGACGAGCAATATCAGTACTTTATCCACACAGCTGGCCCACGTCTAATTAAGGATACTAACTCACTTAAGCTTGTTCAGCAGGTAGGAACAAAACTGGTGAAGGATATTTCAAACCGCTTACAAGTAGCGCTTAAAACTCCTAAACCTTTACCTCTTGTCACATCGTGGAACTCTAAGTGACCATATATAGGCATTTCGTATACTTAATTATGATTTGGGTGCTAATATGTCTTATCATTTTTCCTTCTCCAGCACTAATAATCTCCAGGGCCATAGCAAGATGGTTCACAAACAGCAGTCTAATAAGCTTAACATGGGGTTCCGTTTTTCTCATCGAGTGGTCAATGATTGGGACACCTTACCCGAAAATGTGACATCAGCCGCACCACTGAACATCTTAAAGAAGACTCTGTCCCTTCACTAGAGATCAAACTGTCAGGGTTAACACATGTTCAACAAACCATTATCCTTATTATGGAAGATGAAGTTTGGATAGACACTAGTTTATGCAATGAAGTGAAGTGCAAATTCATTTTTCTATTGTTTTTTTGAATTTTCCCATTATTGTTTGGGACTGCAATGAAAGACTGATCACTTGTAGTCCTAAACACTAATAGGAAGACTCAAACAAACAATACGAAATGAATTTGCACTTCATTGCACAAACAAGTGTTTATCTGGACTCAGTAACTAAGAGGATAACGCTATAGCTTTTGGAGCGAACGGTGGTGGGTTGGAGTCACGGAGTGAATATCAACTCTGTGATGGAGGTACATCCAGCTTACATATCCCAAATAGGACGAAAAGCACGTTATGAACACTGCTACAAGTCACTATAATTTCAGACGATACTTGTTTTAGAACACAAAACGAGATCTCAGTACTGGATTCTAAGAGACCTCAGTGAGATATTCGGTAGCCTGAGAAAAAGTAAAATATATCCTAACATAAAAGGTTGGTTCTTTTGATTGACGTAAATCGGTCGTTTGATGGTGACTTGACCCCTAGACGTTTTACATCATTGATGAGACATGTATGATTGCACCTATCAAAAACTTCTGAGAAATCAATTTATATCACATCCACATTCACCCTGTGATCAGAGATGGTTTTCCATCTGTCCGAAGCAGTCAAGAGATTGATAATGAGGGATTAGCCTTTCCTCAATGCTTGCTGTTGAGGCCGAGAAGTTTATCACTCACGAGCAGTCTCGTAAATCTTAGAATATCAAAGACTCCATTACCTTTTAGGACACTGAATGAAGTGCTACTGACCGGTAGCTTAAAGTTCATCGCATTCGCTTTATTTAAAAGTTGGCGTGATATGTGCCAGCTTTTAATTACCTGGTAGTGCCCCACCACTTGATGATTATTGGATAAATTCTTCTAGCGGTGCTGGCAGGACTGAAAGCGCCTTTGTCAGTATAAACCACGTGAACCACGTGAAGCGTCAAAATATGGACACCGTAGTTTTAATAACAATGACGATATATTCTCAAATAACGATATGTTACATGAGGCAGGCCAGTTCATAGTCAGGAAAATTTTGTTACAAATGGTATAGGATTTACAGTTGGGCTGATATGCCATAAGACAGATTGATCACAGAAACAGGGGAGCAAACTTTGTAAATTAGATACTGGGTGTTTAATATAATAGTTGTCACGCTGTAAAGAGCAACTGGTAGTCGAGAATGAATTCAACTAAATTTCAGAGCTGTTTACAACGACAAATAATGCGGTAAATGCATAAAATCAGTTAAAAACGTCAACTTTAATGTATTTTTTTCCCGATTGTGTTCTCAGATAAATAACATAGGCTTCAATCAAGAATCAGAACGAATTAATATGTTCCGTACATGTGTTTTTGGTGGTATGCCACGAGGCCGCTGAGAAAGGGGTAACAAGAAGAGTAAAAAGCAGAACATACAGTCTTCGTGACTGATAAAGATAAGTCATTTGTGATGAAATAATTAAGAGGTGAATATTTAGACTTATTTTCCTTTATCAGATCGTCCTTTAAGCAAGTTTGTTTCAAGAATTTAAAAGAAAATAGACCAAAGAATGGCCCTAAATGGTCAAAAGTCTGTACAGATAGACAGGTATTAAAAGAGCTGAAAGTTTTAATCCATTAGTATATTTAAAAGATAGTAAGAACAGCAGTGTTTGAATACATAAATGGCTATTTTTTTGTTGAAATTGTCATAACTCGTTTCTGTTATTATAAATTTTATAGAGAAATGAGTTGGCTTGCTTGTCCATTTTGCTAAAAGTAGGATTTCTTAGTAAGGAGTGAAACCAATCAAGTTTACAAACATGAGTCAAATAAGTATTTTCCATAGGGAATTGGCATCAATATAATTAGTTAGTGACATCCCGCTTGACCATAAGGAGCCGTAATTAAGCAAAATGTTCTGCCCTACAAACGTGAATAGATTGAGGTCATCTTGGATATTATGAGCTACTTGAGCGGCACATATGCGTTTAGTGAGTTATCTGAAGTAGAAAGTGAAAAAAGAACGTGAGACTTCGAGGAAAAGTCATGAGATTTTAAACAAACGTGAAACCTCAAATCTGGTTTGAGGGCACGACTAGTGATGCATGGTAAGAAAGGAGAAATCACGTGTTCTATCATTCCGCTATCCATGAATGAATGTCAATGACAGTTTCATAAAAAGTGCTTTACGGGTGGGTGGGAGTTCTGGGGATAGTTGGTGAAGCTCTTTATGGTCTAAAAATAAGGTAATTAGTCTTTCGGACCTAGCAATAACATCACAGTTATGGGTACGTATTGGCGGTCTGTTGCACAACAAGCTAAAACATACAACGAATAGGTTTTTTGGTGTTTTACAGCTATTAGTGTATGTGCTTTCTTTCTGAGTCTTTAGGCAGAGTCATGGATAACAATTTGACTGAAGGTTAGAAATGATAGACTGAATAATAAACAACTTGTTGAAAAATACCAGATTGTTTTTTAGTTGATGACAGCGTGTATATTCTACTTAGTTTGTGAAGTTTTGGGTTTCGGCCTGGTAATGTCTTACTGACGGGAACATTGTGTCGATCTTGGTGTATATGAGCATCGTACATTTTGTATAATCCAGTAGACTTAGGGGTTGTCACACCTAAATTTAGGCAGTCATAGTCATATTTGTGGACAAGAAACGTAAAGTTCCGAAGATGAATGTTTGACTTTGTCAAGTACTGATTCCTTAGACTCAGACTTCGACCTCTGGGCTGGTTTAAAAGTAGGTGATATTTCCCTTTTTACTGGAATTACTAATCGTAATAAAAAGCTGAGTGAGTAAAGAGCTCGTTAAATGGAAAGAGTACATAAATATGTAGTTACTGTTGATTGGCAAACATGTTAATAATAAAGTCAGTGACTTGATATTCGAATGGTTTTATACATCAAGCGTTAAGTTATCAACAAATAGTATATAATAATATATTTCTGTCAGGGCAGGTACATGCAATTTCTGCTGACAATACCTATAATTTACGACATTGATTTACACATAAGAGGTCTCTCAAGTAGAGTTGTAATTATTTCAATTAGTATGGTCAAGGGATAGGAATCTTTTAATGTTGTCTGTTGCGGTTGTAACTACCGAAATCCAATGTTCTGCTTGAACTTAGAACTAATGAAGTAAATTTTATTTGTTTAGACCAGAATACTTCTTTTATCTGGACAGTATATGGAGTGTTTCGCAGTGATTCATTAAATTATATCTGTGGAATTATGGTTTAGTTCAATACTGGTACTACTCTAATAATAGACCTTATCCTGAAATTGTAGATTTAGAATGATGTTGCTAATAAGTCTGCAAGATCTTGTGTGAAAGTCACATCATTGTCTGTCCTGGCTCACCGTACATGACAATCAGCAGTCAGATGTTTGGCACTTCTGAAAAACACATTCGCACTGAAGATAAAATAATACATTAAACTTGGTTAGCAATAAGTTACACAGTGACCACGCTCGCAAGGCTGAGCCATGCCACTCTGGTCGACAGTTGTCACCTTCGCCATTGTCGACCTCCCCTCCACGTAAAATTGTGAATATGCATTTTCCCAGTCATCTCATATTCACCTCCAAACATCGTTTGGTTAGAACCAATACTATTACACATAAGAACACAAACTCTATACTCAGTTTAAGAGGTTCTAGTTCAAGAAAGAAAACGAATTATATCAAAAGTACAAAATACCTCAAACAATGCAGCCTGTGCTATACATTCATGAGTTTCCCGAACACAAACTAACCTGCTGGACAACAAAAGGAATAGTTAATAAACTAAAGCTCGATACCTAAGAATCAATAAAAATATCTGCAACAAGATGGGGTCAGATATCTATTTACACGGATTCCTGAAACTTTTCCGGGAAGACAGTCAAACAATAACAGTCCTATATTGAAGTACGCTGTGACCTTGAGTTTAGCCAGACCCGACTTTATTTTCAACAGTTCAGGAACTTGCAACATTAACAAAAATACATCTTTAAGTACGACGGAATAACAAACGCCCCGACAAAGAAAAACGGAGAGCATAAAGCGCGGTTAAAAGATACCTGAAAAAAGTTGAAGATCAAATGTGAAAGGAGAAACAACTAAACGAAATCACCGCGCAGTGGGATGCTCTTGAGTGATTTTCAGCATGTTTCCTCCGTTTCAGTAACCTTTTTTTAATATTTAGAAAGGTGTAGACAATGACATGACTTCCACATAGGATCTTATAGATTAGGCAGTTACATAATGTCAAATCTACAATTTTAGGCTTAGGTCCATTATTAGAGCAGTACTAATAACTAAGTAGACTATAATTCTACAGGTCTACAATGGGTATGTGTTTATCGGTAATGACCTACATAACCTACCTTTCG